AAGAATCTAAAAGACAATTTATCTTGAATAAATCTTAACTAGTCATTTTTAAGTTTATAAGACTTTAGTGTTTTATTATGTAATTTACGGACGTGCTGATGTTGAGTATTGTAAATTTAGATAAACTTAAAAAATAATTATATATACATAAACTGTACAATATATGCCATAACATGATATTATTTACAATGTCTTATATTGATAATGGTTAAAAAATCAGAAATATTTTAATATGCCTATTTTAGAAACCTTCCATAATTGTCCCCATTTTGTTATATTCCCTAAAAGCACCGGTTATGGTATGGAAGCGACAATGAAGTAAATGAAATTTCCGTTATTATCCTGGCATAAAATAAGATGTCAATATAGGTTTGGATTCCAATCCTTATTGTAGGAAAATAATGGGATCACACAATTATCTACACCTAGTATTTTTAGGGTTAATACTATTAAACATAATGTGGTAAAATAATTAATTTAAAAAATGTTAGTATACCTTCCATGTTGTAGCTTTAGCATTTATCTGATCAATGTAATCGTCAGTCAGAAAATGTGATTGTTCGGTTTGATAAACACTGAACAAAACGACCGACAGCAAAATTATAACTCTAGACATGGTTAAATCGAAAATAATGTATTAAATAAAAATAACCTGATAACTTCCGTTCTTGTTGATCGGAAGGAACAAGAGTAATGTTAAATGAATCTATTGCCTTATATATACACCGGAAGGCGGCTTGAAATGGCGGGCTTACGATATTTCTGAGAATAAGCTCTCGAATATACAAGTGCAGATAGTAAAATTACTATAAATTCATTTCGTTATCTATACAAACTTTTCACTTGATACATACAGTGCGATTAGCAATTAGTTTTTATTCCAATATTTTAACAAATATATTTACTTTAAACATTAATAGTTATAATTCAATCCATATTACCAACAGCTTTATTTACTAAAAACTGAGTACTGATAAAGATTTTTTTTTTATTTGTTCAGAAATGGGCATTGTGTAGTACTATTGAACAATTTATTTAATTGATAATTTTAGCTTCGATGCGTAGCTGAGATGTTATTGTTTTTACAATGATGTTTTGTTATTTTTATGTTTTTATATTTTTGTGTTTGTACCCACGATATCTCCTAAGCCACTCAACAGATTTCATCATTTAGAAACTCTATAGATCGTACATGTAAGGTACTGAAGTGGACCAAATATTTAAAAATTCATCCCTTCTTCTTCAAAATCAAAATAAGCACCAAACAAATTTATATATATTTCAACTTTAACTTTTTTTAAATAGTCCAATTAGTTCCAAATTTGTATAGAATATTCTCTAGACATTGTACTAACGATTCACGTTGACAACCCAAACCTTTTCCCTTTGAAGGGGTGGAAACTAGAGCTGAGACCTCGAATCGAATTTTTTTTATTATTCGAATTATTCGAATAATTGAATAATACTATTCGTATGAAAATAATTAGAATATTCGAATAGTAATCAAATAATTCGAATATTCGAATTTTCGCATGAAAAAACTAAAAAGAACTTCTTAATCTAAGAGGTAATATTTATTTTGTCAAATTTATGTTTTTTTGTAATTATATATCTATATAAATATTGTTAAAATCTTATTTGTTGTAATAAGTAATAATATTTATTTTGTCAAAAGAATAATTCGTTATAATTATATTAATTTAGTTAAAAATTATTAAAAATAGATTAAGGGCACCTTAGTTGTCTCTTAATTATTTTTTTTTAATCTAATTAATCCTGCAAAGAAAATGATAAAATATTCGAATATTCGAATAATCAGATCGAATATTCGAATAACTCATAGAATATTCGAATAAAAAATTCGAATATTCGTTATTCGAATAACGAATACTCGTGCGAATAAAGTATTCGAATAACAAATATTCGCGCGAATAAAGTACTCGAATATTCGAATTTTTTTTATTCGAATAGTCCCACCACTAGTACACAGTTATATATTTTATAATATAATAATATACATTGAAAATTTGAAATAAATTAACTTTATTGACTTGGACAACTCATTTTTTTAAGTAATAATTTATAAAACAAGAACTATTTTTCGAGTTCCTTTCGCTAGTTCATGAATTACTTCCTCAGTGTCAAGTTTTATATTAATACGAACTGCCAACATAGCTAATCCATTAAATCTATCCTGTTTTAAGAGAAATAATAGTAATTTATTATTAAAATGTATTGTCAATTTTTTAATCACAATGCATAAAATGGTAGCATTTTTTGTTCTTATTTTACACATGGTATTTCTTAAATACGTCTTTACTCTTTTTAGAGTAGAAAACATCCGCTCAGGTGTGGTGGTAGATATAAGCAATGTGCATAACATTTTTATAATTGTAAATATATTAGCATTATTTTAGCATCACACTACATAAGAGCTTAAAGAGCCTAGTTTAGAACTGTATTAGTTTTGCTAATTTTGCGCCTCCACAACTTCAGCTCAACAAGTGAAACATCAAAATTTTGTATTTCTGGAGTACTTTGTTATTTTGATAAAAGTATCAGTGTTGTCACTTTACACATGGCACGTGGGTAGTATGGGCACAGAATAGATAAAAGTATGGTATGGGTACACACGTTTCGTGGCCATAGGTAGTGCGTCAGTGGTTATCACTTATCATGACAATTAAATATTGAAAAAAACTGGTTTTCTGCGTGGCTTATTGAGTATGATAGGTACAATTTGAAAACTAAGATAAGACGGTGTAGGTTAAAGGTTTATGTTTTTACTTTACATACATCATAAATCTAACATAAAAAAAGGCTCTGGGGGATCTATCTCCATCATCCCCCCTCCCCCATAAATACGCTACTGGTTGAACCTCAGATTCGCATCGAAGCGTTTATTTAAAAGTTATAATAATTCCTGTAAACCTGTGACCTCGTCGTTCCCACTATGCCCCGAACCCACTGTACTTGCTTTTTTGTTTTTACTCCTCCCAACTTAGTGTTTTTGATAGCAACTTTTGAAACTTTTGAATGGTAACGCATACATTACATTAACTTTTAAAATAATTATGCAAAACTGGTAATCGACCAGTCAACTTTTTTAGTACATTATTCTCAATTAAAAAAGTTAATGAAATGTTTTCGTTACCATTTAAGTTTCAAAAGTTGCTATTCAAAAAACTAAGCTGGGAGAGGGGAAAAACCGAAAAATTGTGAGAAATTGAGATCACACTGCATAAAAACACTATGTTAAGATAAAATTAATTTTTTTATTAAACCCAGTGAGATATTGATTGAAAATATTTAGATATACTTATGTAGTGATTGTTTTTACAAAAAATAATGATCCAAAATTTGCAGTCAGTATTTTAACCCATTAGTCCCCAATGAACAATTCCACACTAAATAATACATATTGTAAATCCCAACGTTACATTTACGCAACATTTTTTTTATAAAAAAACTAATAAGATAGTATTTTTTTTAGCTTTATAAATTGTTATTTGTGTATAATTTAAGAAATAAAATGCAGTAAAAACATAAAATTAGTTTTATTTCCTTAATAAATCTAATCAAATTAAAAAAAACTAACATTCTAACTTTAAGTTGTCAAACTCGCACGATGATTATCTAAAATTGTCTTCCACACGTGCTCAATGTAAAACCTTAAGTAGACTAGATTACTCCCGATACTTAAATAATATTCAAAATCTTTTAAATCCCATCCCAAGAAATTTTTGTCTTTTATTAATAACCTTAAAAAGTCACCTGGTTTGCCCAACTCAATGTCATTTAACCAAAAGACAGCTGAAAATGGTCAATACTTCTCTTCAGTACATAATGATACAGTTCCTACAAATAATAATTTTCAGTCTAATATAATTCAATCTATTGATTCGTTAAATACACTTCATATTGAACTCCTTGAAGTTTTCAATGGGTTAGATATTCTCTCGTATAAAAATGCTATTGGTCCTACTATTGGTCTCTCTCCTATATTTACTGCAGATTTATAATTTCTCCACCTATCACGTTTCTTCAATATTTCTTTAAATAGTGGCTCATTTCCATCGCTTTGGAAATCCACCTATATTAATCCAATTCTTAAAAAAAGGTAATAAATCATTAATTTCAATCTACCGTCCCATATCAATAATTTCTATCCTCCCAAAAATATTTTCTAAAATAATAAATAACAAACTTACACCTATATTTAAAAATATTTTAGCACCACAACAACATGGATTTCGTAATAATAAATCATCTCTTACTAATTTAATTACTATAAAACATCATATAATAAAATCTTTTTTCAATAATCAACAAACCGATGTTGTTTATACTGATTTTGAGAAAGCCTTTTAAAAAGTAAACCACGCTTTATTAATCAATAAACTACAGGAAATTGGCTTTGTCTATCCTCTATTATCATGGTTTAACTCTTTCCTAGGTCATCGAACCCAATTTGTTAAATATAAAAATTTTATATCAACACCTATTTCCTGCGTTTAGGAAAAACGGAAGCCGAATGGGCTACGTCCGTATTTGCGTAGGTATTGGATATTATGCAGTGTCATTTAGCAGCCCACGCGGTGGCCAGCTCACTCCGAGTAATAGTTTTTCTCTCATAAGATAACGTTTTTTTGTAAAAATCTGAATTTTTTAATTACTGTTACTAATTTGTAAAACTGTAAAAAACGTATCCCCAAACACATTATGAACCAGTTCGACTATTTTTCAGAATTCAACTTAAGCGAGCGTAATTTTAGAGTTGAGAAATATATCATATTTATTTCTATGTTCTTTCTATGTTCTATCTTTTAAATAAAAAAGATAAACACTGACTGCAATTTTTGGATCATTATATTTTGTGAAAACTATCTCTACATCTAAATATAATGGTGTACTCGTGAATCGAGCGTTACTTATTGGTTGGTCGTGTTAATAGATAGGTGTAGGTAGAAATTCAATAATAAATAAGTTCAATAATAAAATAGTTTTGCAATAATAATGTAATTTTGTATTAAGCACAAAACAAATTCATGAAAGTATGTATTTTTTTAGTATCTTGGTACACCTGCTGTTGTTGAATTGTCGATTCCACATTCATTGCTTCCTCTAAGGATCTTGAACGTTCCATTATCACCCCATTGGGTGTTCCACGAGTTAACCATAAGCCAGTAGGGGGTTCCTAGATAGTATCCCCATCCAATCATTTTGACGGCATGTCCTCCCAAGTATGTAGCGTTCTCCGTCTTCACGTAGACGCCTTTGGGTATAACATTTTCCCGATGAGTGCAACGGTCAGATTTTTGAAAATTATTTTTGTCTCTTACCCTCTTTGTAATGAATGAAATCGTCGTAGACGTCAAAGGCTGCTGCGACCGGACCGTACGTTAATATGTCTTTTTGAATGGTGTTGGGTGTCAGGTAGTACGCGTCTCTGGCTGTAACAAACACAAACAGTTGGAAAAATGAAAATCAAATAATAATAATTGTGCTCGAATATTACTGTAGACGTGGTCATTCTTGTAATCGATGTTGCTGTCTCCGTAACACTCTTTGGTGCATCTGTGGTTTTTTTCGGCCGGTTGGTCCTTGCACGTGTTTTGTCCTTCATCGTCTTCCTCGCACGGTGGCACTCTGTACGGTTGGCATCCCTGTGGCGCACACAAATAGAAAACAGATCGGTCGTGTTAGTTATAGACACGAATTAAGATATCAGGATAGGCGATAGCCAACGGAGTATGATAAACCATTGTTTGATCGGGATCAGAAATGATTGAAAAATGTCCAAAAGCTGTGTTTACCTATGTTTATTTTTTTAGACTTGTGGATAAAATTCAGTTGATGTAGCATATGTATATAGTTTATTAGTCAAATCTAGATTATTTGATTTCGCACCTACGCTGAAACCTACTTGCACATAATACTATATTGCCTTATTAATTCAACTTACAGAGAGCGACACAAAGCTATCCGTTTTATCATATTTGCCGTCGGATAACCATATTATCTTTTATCGTCGTATAAACGTTTTGGGGGACACCTTATCATAAGCTATCCAGTTATCATAATTTGTTGTTATAGGTATGAAGTCTGTCTCACAAAAGAACGGGACTGCGCAAAATTAAAAAGTTTATCCCCGATTCCTGTGTGCGCACGCGAATACGGTTGAAGATGCGTTTTCGTTTATGGGCAGTCCCGTTGTTTTGTGAAACAGACTATACTCGAATAATAATTCATCGTCGACCAAATCTCACCTCGTCCGTGCCGTAGTCTCCTCCAGTGACAATGCCATGACGACTAAAATATTTCCAGGCCTGTATGGGGTACCCGCCGTTACATCCAAATCCACACAACCGACAACAGAAAGCCAGTTCTTCGGCCGACAGCATTTCGTTGAATTTGGCGTCAGTGGCTACGCACATTCGGTCGGAAAACGCGCTGGTAGTGGCCAACGCCTGCGATAAACGCGCCAATATTAAATTTAAACCATATTATTTATTGTACTCGGTCCACAATGCATTTTGAACAGTACATTGCATGGCATCAATAGTATTTATAATGACATAATTACCCAACAGCTGCCGCATTTTCCTTGATCACGGATGTGACCGATCGTTTTACAGTGTCTCCACTTTTTCCTCGCGTCGAACGTTCTAGGAATGTAATGGTAATTGGCATAATTCTTATCTTCGGATTTAACCGGACCGTTAACCGTCAGTCCTACGTCTCTCGCTCCCAGCATACTCTTAATTTGCTCAACGGAAATGTCCGAAGGGAAATTTCTGCCAGCCTAAAAATAAAAATTAACTAATTACCAAATTACTACTGGTTATTTTTTTACTTTGATTTCTACGTTATTGTCAATGGCTTCTCGGTAGCGCACAACAGTAATGCGATAAAACTTATAAGTATATATAAGTATATGGTAGATATCATTGATAGCTTCATGATACGTATAATTTAAGTGATAGTTAAGAGATTCTTTTACTAATTGTGTTTAGATACTGGGGCTAAATAGTTAAAATTTTATGTTTTAACTTTATACGCCATTTAAAAATACAAGGTATTTTTGCCAAATCATTTTAAATTACGAAAATTTAAAACCCGAAATACTTTGTGTTTTACATCAATGTTAAAATATTTTACAGAATAGTGAAGTACTAATTTTTTTTTCTGTACTTTATGATTTATTTATTATTCAAGGAAAATTAAAAACTGTGTTTTTTATAGTATTTTAAAAATGTTTTGGCACCAAATAAAAATATTTTATAAGTCATAAACAAATAAATAGAAAAAGAGTGTTGCAAAAGCATTTCAAAATGGTAAGTAAAGCGGCACATTACACGCATTTCTTTAATTAATATTTTATAAGCAACTTAAATTGTATAAAATGAACAAAATACACCATTAGTTAAAACAGATTTGTTTTAATTTACTTAAGAATGAATATCGTATTAATATAAACAATTTTATTAAATATTTCACTAAAGTTTTAAGCATTGCATACTTCATAAATTATTTACAGTGCAATGTTTTAATATATCAGTCAATATTTCATTTTGAACAAAACACGTTGAACAGTTCACTATTGATAACTTATTTTAAGGGTTGTATTAATATATTTTTTATTTACACGAATCCGTGTATATGTTAATCAATAGAACGTAAAAATGTTGAAAATAAAGCTACCTAACATATTTAGACATAATAATTATAACAATGTCTTAGAAATACATACACTAAGAGTAAATAAATTATGTATGCATTAATTAGCGCTTAAGCAACTCAATTCCTAAAATAGTTCTTTCCTCATGTATAATACTATTTTCACGATATATTTACAAATGTCATTTAATTTTTAGAATCCTAAAAGAAAATTTAGCTTGATTAAATGTTAATTAGTCATTTTTAAGTTTATAAGACTTTAGTGTTTTATTATGTAATTTACGGACGTGCTGATGTTAATTTAGAGAAACTTAAAAAATAATTGTAGATACATAAACTGTACATTATATGCCATAACATGATATTATCTACAATGTCTTGTATTGATAATAGTTACAAAATCAAAAATTTCATAATATGCCTATTTTGGAGACCTTCTATAATTGTCCCCATTTCCTACATTCCCTAAAAGCACCGGTTAAGGTATGGAAGCGACCAAGAAGTTTTCGTTATCTTCACGGCATAAAATAGGATGTCAATATAAGTTTGGATTCCAATCCTTATTGTAGGAAAATAATGGGATCGCTCCATTATATACCCCAACACCTAGTAATTTTAGGGTTGCTACAATTAAAAATAATGTGGCAAAATAATTCATTAAAAAATGTATGTATACCTTCCATGTTGTAGCTTCAGCATTTATCTGATCAATGTAATCGTCCGACAGAAAATGTGATTGTTCGGTTTGATAAACACTAAACAAAACAACCGACAGCAAAATTATAATTCTAGACATAGTTAAATCGAAAATAATGTATTCAATTAAACAAAACTGGAAACCTCCGTTCTTGTTGATAGAAAGGTATAAGAATAATGGTAAATGAAACTGTTGCCTTATATATATACACCGTAGGGCGGCTTAAAATGGTGGGCTTACGATATGTCTGAGAATGAGCTCTTGAGTATAACTGATTACTGATAAAGATTTTTTTTTTATATTTGTTCAGAAATGGGCAATGTGTAGTACTATTGAACAATTTATTTAATTTATAATTTTAGCTTCGATGCGTTGCTGAGATGCTATTGTTTTTACAATGATGTTTTTTTTATTCTTTTTTTGTGTCTGTACCCACGATATCTTTTAAGCTACTGAACCGATTTCTTCATGTAGAAACTGTATAGATACCTTATTGGACCAAATATTTAAAATGTCACCCCTTTCCCATCAAAATCGAAATAATTACCAAACAAAATTATACTTATGGTAAACGTTACAACCCAAACCATTATCATAAACCTTTTCACCTTTAAGGGGTGGAAACTTCTTCTTCGTTTTAGGTGAAGTCTTAGGATTTAAGGTTTGAAAGTTATACCTATACTTCTAATTCTTCACGCAAAGTATTTAGGAGTTTGGTCTGAAAATTAGACCGATGGTCTATAGTTCCATTATAGAGATCTATAATGGAACTATAACATATATAATTTTCTCAAAAATCTGTAGTCAAACTTTACAGTATTGAGTGCTCATATGCATTGTAAAAATTATCTGGACATTAAACATTTTAAGAAAAATCCAAAAAAAGAGAAAATGTTGACTAAACATTGACCGTAGTAAATTTCCAGATTGCATATTCATCATGAAATGCTTTTATAGATATTTGTATTCTTATCTGTGAACACTGGACCTCCCTTAATTACTTACTAGCTACTACTACTACTTACTACTCACTACTAGTTTGAACACTAATACTATCCACAGATTCGCATCGAAGTGTTAATTTAAAAGTGATTTTATCACTTTCAGTTATAATAATTCCTGTAGACCTATGACCTCCTCGTTCCCACTATGCCTCAAACCCCAGTGTACTGGCTTTTTTTAATGTTTCATAAAATACATTATTCAATTATGTTTGATTTTTAATAACTACTAGAATTAAAAATTGAACTAAAATTTAAATGTTTTCAAACAAATTTTTCTAGTAATCATATATATTATTTTTAACAGGATATCCAAAAACTATAAAAGAGTAATTTTTAAATTTTTTAGTGTAACACAATTATAGATGATTTATACTATACAGTTTCTTTCTTAAAGATGAAGCTACGGTTCTTTGGAAAATGATGGCCATTGGTACACTTTAATTACCATTTCGAAATGCTTTTGTAATACTCTTTTCTGTTTATTTGGTGATAAAATATTTTTAATTTAATATAAAAAACACAATTTTTAATGTTCCTTGAATAATAAACAAATAACAAAGTAGAGAAAAAAAATGTACCATTCAAAAAGACGTTAAGGCGTACGGTCTGGTCGGAGCAACCTTTGACGTCTTCGAGGATTTCATCCATTGCAAATTTGGGTAAGTGACAAAAATAATTGCCAAATTATCTGAAAATTATCTCGAAAATGTTATAGCCGCAGGCGTCTACGCGAAGTTATTTAACGCTACATACTTGGGAGGACATGCCGTCAAAATGATTGGATGGGGATACGAACTAGGAATCCCCTACTGACTATTAGTCAACTCGTGGAACACACAATAAGGTGATAGTGATAAGTCAAGATCCCTAGAGGAAGCAATGAATGTGAAATCGACAATTCAACAACAGCCGGTATACCAGTAACTTACTACAAAAAAAAATACATATTTTCATATCATTTTTTGGTAGTTAATCCGAAATTATATTATTGATATTTATTGCTAATTACTTTTATTGTCGAGTTTATATACCTACACGATCTATCTTATCAACCTATTAGATGATATAATAGCAATTATTACTGTTAAAGGACGAGAGTACACCATTATATTTGGATATAATTGTTGAGATTCTTTTTACAAAAAATAATGATCCAAAATTTGCAGTCAGTATTTTAACTTGTTTTGTCACAAGACATAGAAAAAAAGTAACAACTATAATTGTACGTATATTTAGAAAAAAAAAATTATATAATTTGACATATTCCTCAACTCTAAAATTACTCTCGCTAGAAATTAAGTGGGTCACTTTCAAAAGATCACCTTGTAAATTAGACTGTAAATAAATCGTTTAAATAAAAAGCCTTTAGGTGATTAGAAAAAAAATGGTTACAACAATATTAAACAATAAATTGCACAGTAATAATTATACTCGTGAGAGCATATAAAGGGTCTATCGACGATGATGCAGTTTGTCAACTTTGAGTTTCCTATTTTTTATTAGATTAAATCAACTTACCCAATATTTTCCCGGTAACTACTAATAACAATTATATTATCGCGGCTGATGGAAATACCTGGTGGATTTGGCGAATTATCCCGTTTTTTTCATTTGAACATTTTTTTTGTCCAAATTAAATAAAAAAATTAAATATTTGTTTTGAGGAGAAGAAAAATAAAACATTCACCTTGCCAAACAAGGATACTGGCCCAAGAGCTAGATGAGTTCGTCGTCTCGCCAGCGTCGAAACAAACTTCTACCAAAAGCTCAAACGCTTCACCTATCAGTCAGGTATCTACTTCCAAGAAAAATGTTTTCATCGCACCCCTCCATTTATGTAAGTGGGTGTTACGACTTGCTTAAAATTTATTTATTAAATCTGCTCATCGTCCATCTATTTAAAAACTACTCCAAAATATTTGATTATTCGCACCGACAATTCGGGTAATTTTGGCACAGTCATAGATTATCTTATCTATCTGACAACAATCAGATTTAATCAGAACAACCAGCCAGGTGTGCTCTTTGTTCTTGGCCGAATAATGCCTCTTACAAAGGATGTTCTCCAGATAAATAAATCATCTCATCCAGCAGGAAAAAGAAATGATTATATAATTCTAATATTGGCTCCATTTTCGGCTATACCACCACGACGTAACGTCACTCCCAGGTTGAGTCACGCTCTTCACAAGCAGTCATACGCCTTTATCACTGTCAATGTGTCTTCTTCGTTCCAATAGGAGCAAACCATTTTTAACCTTCCCGAATAGTTCAAGTCCATAATTGAATTTGTATTTTTATTATTGTCATCCATATTATACAAATTGTCAGCTACCGGTTGTGTGTGTTTGGAACCACGATACCTTTTAAACCACTAAACCGATTTTTCATATAGCTAAATAATAGATCAGAAATCGTATCTAAAAAGGGTATCTATTTTTAAGGTGAATCATTAGGACAAGACACTCAATTTATTATTAGATAACTTCAATTATATAGTTTTTCTTTTTGGATACACTTTAGTTAATGTTGTTTCACAATATTAAACCATATTTAAACTCGTATATTTGTTTCCCAGAGCTCTACCAAGTTTGAAAACTTAAACGGTAACACGTATATTTGATTAACTTTTTAAATTAAGAATAATTTGCTGAAAATGTTGACTGGTTGATAGCCAATTTTGAATAGTTACAATATTACAATTGATATAAGAAAAAATTAGCGTCTTATCCTAAATGAAACAAAATTGTATTTAAACTAATAAAATACACCGATACGTTTTGTTCTCATTTAAAATACGTTTATTGCTATGCGAACCGGCTTGATTGCTACAATAAACTAATTTAATGACTCGGCTGCTGGTTGTGGTCACCTTAATTGGGTTGTTCATATTCGGCCGACGGTATAATATCTATGTTGGTAATAACATCGATATTACATCAACATATATATTAACCATTGATTACTATTACTAATTTTTATAGATAAATGATATACAGAATAAACATATTCTCTATTATTGGTTAAATAATAATAGTAAACAACTTTTTGTACATATTTAAAATAATAAGAACTTCATTTAGGTTCTCTCTTCGGCTTACTCACAATTTATATTTATATTCTGACATTTTTTTACTTTTTTAAGTGCTTGTATTTTAGTTATATTTCAAGTTTTCTAAAAATACCGTCGAGAGAACCTAGTTAAAGTCTTCCTCTTTTTAACGGTATCAACATGACCTACATGCTTTACCATAAACACGTTTTTAGGATTATTTTTAAATAGTATGATGTCCTCTCAACTATGTGTTACGTTTAGTGATTTGTTCATAAACATTAAAAGTCATGAACAATAGCTAACATAAAATGATTCGTTTGATGAATTTTTACACGTAGGTATAACGTTATAATATATAAAGGACACAGGGGAAGAACGGTAGTAGTCCATTTATAAAAACTTTAGAGTATAGCAAAATCAAAGTTCGCGAATTCCTCTCTCTCTTACATAAGAACAAAACAAATTACATTAAGTGCTATTCTAATAAAAAATGTATTTTTTAAACAATTTATTGATAAAAATAAAAAAAAAATAGCATGCATTGAAAAAAAACTATTTAAAAAAAAAGTTTCATAAATGGACTACTACCGTTCTTTTCCTGTGCCCTTCGTATATTTTAAACGGTCGAATAACACTACGCTGAGTTAACCGGCAAACATGTATTTGTTCTTTAATCTTTTACACATAAAACATTTTGTATTCATTCATAAAACCTATTTATTTATTCATTTTTCAAAAAAAAAATATGCACTTTACAATTTATATTTTTAACTTTTATTACACAAATTTAAAGCTCATGTTATAACGTGTATTTCGGATCTCTTTTAGGTATTAAATTATTTGCCCTATACAATGTATATTTTGTTGTAAAGTATATTTATTAATAGAAGTTATAACAGGTCAGTGAATCCGAATAATAAATTAAATTAAATTTATATTACTGATCTCAATAATATACAATCATAAAAAAAAACGATTTTGTGTACTAGCATGATATGTGTATTTCAACGCAAAAGTGTTTTAATTTAAGTATAAAACTCAAATATTTACAAAAATAATTTTTGGTTACTTTATATAAATCTGTATTATATAGCAGTGTAATGATAATATTTCGTTCGTGTATAAGTAGGATAATGCCAAGTAGGTATATGAATAAATCTAACAGAAATCATTTGTCACTTCAAAAAATAGAACATAATAATTATGAAAAATTACACTCGACCTAATATTAAGCGTACTGAGTAAACATGTGAAAAAAACACCTACATAACAATTAACTTGACTAATCAGTGATCGAACCGTTTCTTCACATTATAATAGTTACAAGACAATGATTCCTTAGACATTTTATCTACAGATAAAAGAAAATATACTAGGTATTAATTTCAATTAGTAGAAAACTCTCGACTTCATCATGAAATATATTAGTGTTTTTTTATGTAATTCTTGTTAATACTTTAGTAGTCTAATACGGTCGATAAAAAATTAAAAATATGCGCAATATATTGTTGTATTGTTCTGTACAGATATTGACACTTTTTGGTTTATAATAATGTATTCATTTTCTTTCTTATTTATTTTCTGTTGTTGCTCTTTAATGTTTAAAGGCAGATACTTTAATCTTTAGCATACATTTACAATAGCCTCCCACAATATTGGTTTAAAGTTATATTTTTTTTACTTTCCTCTACTTGAAGACCATTCTATATGAATCATCGTTAATACTATACTCACCGCTACAGTTTTTTCTGCCTTTATAACATAAACAAGCTATCTCGATTTTTTGTTTCTCTTTATATCTTCACCGTTCTCAAGCTAAGGCATTGTGTTGTAATATACTTTCAACATTCCTCAATCAACCTTTCCTAGTCAATCCGTTCTTCTATTATCATAATTGCTGTCCTTTTATTAGAGCTTTCAAACAAGACATGGTGTGTAACTCTGATTTATACAGTACCGGTGTCTCCGTACGAAGTGACCCGGGCAAGAATATCATAATATGAATAGCTGAGTGGGAAAGGGCTAATATTCTTCAACACCAAATTTTCGGAAAATTCAAGAAAACTGTTGATTCTCTATACAATTTATATAGGGATTATAATTAAACTCCTGCTATTAATGTTTAAATAGGATATTATCATTTATATACTTCTAATATGAGTCTACCTTTCAGCTATAAAATGGCTATCACAGTTTATTTTTAGAATTTTATCGTTTTTCCACTCAACTGTTTATATTACTATAGCACAGATTTCGATCGGGCTTTGTAAAAAAAGCTAATGAAACGGGTTTTCCATTTACAGGCCATCCACGGCTGTCCGTGGCCTATACAGCATTATTTGACAAACATTTTCTGAAGTCATCTGTTAATATGTGTCATACGTCGGATAGACAGACATATTAAATGAACGGTTTTTATAACTATAGATTCCCCGTTTGTACAGTTCCATGTCCGTGTGGTGGTCGACTTGTCGGCTGACTATTATTATTAGTGGTAGTAGCCGTCTTTTTTTTTTTATTGCAAACCAGTTGCAATAACGACAGGTCGTGTACACAATATTTAAATGTTATGATTGGCAGCAAAGCCGAAACCGTGTGTAAAGTGAAAGTTCCGCCGCCCAAGTGAAACCTGCATGTGTGTGTGTAGGTATTAGTGAGTGTTTGAATGTGCCATCAGTTTGCGGCCAGTCGCACCGTCTTCACGATGGTCCGTGTACCACCGAAGCCCATGCTCCTGCTGCTGTCTTTAGCCGCGGCCATTTCGTGTAAGTAACTTGCACTCTAAGACGTTTACATAACCACGCAGCGACACATTTTCAATATTTTTAAAATTACGTTATCAACCATGTTTTAATGGTTTTTTTTATGATGTTCCGGCACAAATTCAATGTTTCAAAACTGTCCGTATAAACGTTTAGAAAATATTTTGTAAATAGCATTTTTGGAACATTAAATTTCCGTCCGAAACATCATTTTGTCACATGTCTGAGAACGCTTTAAAAATATTTACATTTTGTTGTTCTACGGGACGCCTAATATTGAAACGCAATCGTTATTTCCTAAATTGACAACCGATAAGTATTACGTTAATATGCAATAAATTATACGTGTAACAGTCGGCCACCGTTGAATGTCGGCAACGCATTAAATTAATCATCAGTTTTCTTATCAATTAAATATTAGCATTGCACAGCAGTACCATATTACACCCACCTTCACAATGCCTATTTTTTATCTACCTCGCGTGTAATATAAAATATACAAACGTTATTTTTATTTTTTATTATTATTATATTATACATCATGTTCGTCCATAAAACCAAATGGTATTTAAATGGTAGGCGACGGCCAAGCACGTGCATTTAGGTCAACCGAGTATACACGCACTAGAAACATTTTGACATTATTTTATTGATTTTACATTTGTGAAGTTACAACTCAATTGATTTCTAACAATAATTACATTTTTTTTTGTAAAATCTGTATATTGGAAGTTAAGGAGACCATCGAAGCTGTTGGTGTAAACAATTCGAACGACCGCTGGGCGCTTTTTTTGTAAGGTCGGGGAAAATAAATAAGTCATAACCATTTCGTAAGTAGGTACCACACTATCATAGAGCGTGAGAATAAAAATCCCACCAGAACCATGACGAGTATAAATTATTCGTTTTTGTTTCGTTTAAACAAGTTTCACCAATCGCGACCGACTTATCATGCAGGTATAGGTACAGCGCCTATAATTAATAATCAATTGATTTCACTGAAATTCGTTTGATTTACAATCACTCCATTCCATTCGATCGTCAGTGATGAAATTACAAAACAATTTTTACAGAGTGACTTAATTTATTTTCATTATAAGACCTTGAGGGTCCGGGATCCTTCACACTCTCTGCACACACGTCCATCCCGATTCAACTTTATTTTATTTCGATATTAGTTAAACGGTAGTTTATAGGGGTGAAGGATATGAGTTTCGACATTAGTACTTCTCCTCCTCCTCCGATTACATGTATAGTTCGGGTGAAATTAATTCCCGGGCCTCGCATGACCTAAATCCGTACAGCAGTGTGGCAATGCATAATATAGAACATACACCCGGATATCAATTTATTTATATACATTAAATTTGAAAATCAACAGTAACTTCTATAAACTCTCATCTTAGACGTATTTTTTTTTGTGATTACAAAAAGTATAAATTGTATCAAGTTTTAAGTTGTAAAATGTCTTACAAATAAGTTGTAGGCTAAGCCCCCTCCACCTAATACGCCTATAATCTTCTATTTATTTTAAACCTATAGCCATTCAAATGTACTTTATATCATATTGACTATTTACTCCTTCAAACAACTTATTTTGCCTTTTCTTATTAACTGTGATGTTTTAAGTGATTTTTAGATCATCAAATGCTAGACGCTAACCATTATTAATCAATACAAATATTTTCAAATAATAATCCAGCTGTTGATATTTCATAAGAGATTCCAATATTATTTCCGTTTTATTAATAGAACAGAAGCTTAAGCAGCAATGTTTATTATATAGAAGGAAATATTTTAAGAACCTAATTTATAGTAATGTATAGTGCTTAAATAATTTTTTATAAGTCATGGAACCAAACTGTTATGGGTTATTTCGCAAACGGACGTGACTAACAGCGAAAAGTTACACAACGTGTGTTTGTTTATATGAATCGAAACGTACATTTTACAAAAATTAGCAATATTTCCTATTTCAAAAATCACGGTAGATGTAATATACGAGTATGATACATAACATATCAAGCAGCTTCAGACGTGGTAATACTCTGAAATGTCGTTAATAGTCAAAACACAACAAACCTTTTTTTTCAATCTGTATGTCCAATAAAATAAAATTAAAAAATGTATACCGTTTTTAATCGAAATATAAATGATACGCAATAGTCTTATGTGACAGGTCCTATTAATTATTATAGTAATATTATAATCTAACCTAATTTGATTATCTCTTCATTCGACAGTCAACAATGGCAACCGTTCTCGTCTTATCGAGTGGTTTTAATAGGAATCTATTTTTCCAGGTAATAGTTAACATTGATATAATCGTACATAGGTACTAACATAAAAAAATAATTTTTAAAAACATGAAACAAAAAATGATATTATCTTGAACTGCCTTATGATTGGAAAAATATACTATACGACAAGTAGTCGTGACATTAATACAATTAGTCATTTTACCTATAAATGCTCGTTATCTTATTGTGACAAATGATTGATAAAAATATGGACACTTCAAATTAATACCTATGGTAAACTTTTATTGAACAAATAAGGTGAACAATTGATTTTACCAAGAAATGAATTGCATCCAAATGTAATACTATCGATTTCTCAAGGGCTAATTTGTTATTCTTGTTATTTCTTCATTATTAATACGTTAACCTACAAACATCTCTTAATCATAATAATTGACTTTTAATTTGTATTCAGTCATTGTTAAATTTAATAGGAAAAACGTTTTAAATCATTTACCTACATAGCATCTAATATATTTGGTAGGTTGGCAGAATTTGATATGACACTTTATGTCAATTTTTGAGGAATTATACCATTAGTTTTAAATTAGGTCACAAGTTGCAAAAATTTGTATAACTGAGTGCATTCGTTATCACACTAACGTTGTTAAAATAGAAGCTAATACTTAAAAATACATTTTTGCTGAAATAGTTCAATTGTATTTTTCTGTAGGCTGTAGGTTGGAAGAAGTGACATTATACCATAATATTATAATATACATACAATGTATGTATTATTGTCTGTTATCTATAGACATATTTTCACACCAGATAAAGCAGATAGTTTAAGTATAAACTTTTTTTAGCAAGAAAACATAATATATATATATATACATTATATGTAAACTTTTAAAAACGATTTATTTTGGACATATATGTATATATAATATTTTTTATTTAAAAAGTTCACTCTTATTTGTTGTCCGCGATTGAAGATTTAGACTGTCGTGTCTATACATAAGTCATTTAATTTTTTGTACAATAATATAAATAATAATAATTTCGATTTTTCAGACGTCAGCGCTACCATATTTGTGCCCGAAGAAATACCTTCCCTGCTATCGGTCGTTTACAGTAATTTGCCACCGATTAAAAAAGGTAACAAAAATATATTTATATTTAAATTGTATAACTAATCGTTATTGAGAGCACAGCAGTTGTTTCCGAGTGTATTTGTTAAAAATGAAATTCATGTTTACATTTCCTATTTGACCGTCGAGAAAGTGACGGGAGTTAGTTTAAATAGTATTGTTATTATATGCGATAAAATATAACATGTATAATAATATTACAGTCGGTAAACGGATTACGGTATTTAAGTATGATTATCCGAGTGTATATTGAGTATATAGAGTACAAGACATCGTGCATGCATTTGTTTAACAGCTCTTTTAATAGAAATTTCTAAACCGTTTTAAAGGAAAGTGAACACATCACATCACATCACATCACATCACATTATCGTAGTTTTCCCATTGCGTGTGCGCGCGGTGAAATGCGATTACAACAATAACGGTAATAATAATTATTACTGTTGTAAGGATTGTCTCGTTATATCACTCCAATGTCCGTTATTTGAATAGTAAAATAATTTTAGAGACTCGCCTTGTTTCGTTAATGGTCTACAGGGTGATCAATTTAACGTAAGACACCCATTATCTCGGAAAATACTTGCAATTATGTAGTTTTTCTTTTTGATTTTGATTTATGTTTTTTTTTTAATATTGTAAAACTAACAATTATTTAGCAAATACGTAGAAAATAATATTACACCATATGTTGTCTTTTTTTTTTGGTATCTCTAATAATAATAATTGTTTAACCTGTACTGTTTTTTATATTAATAAAAACTTTAATTACAGTCTTTAAAAACAGATACGTATAATATTATTTTTTAAGTATCATCAAAATTGTAAGGTTCTTCAAACTTTATAGGATTATTTGTAAATGGCTAATGATAATGAAAAATGTTTATAAATAAATGCTATGATAATCTGATAAAAAAATCCTAAAAGTTCCTCATATATCAAAATCTTATCAAATTGAAGTTTATGGCGTTCTATATTTAATTTCCTGTCAAAATATTCAAAAATAATTTTACAACTATTATAAATTAGTAAAGTTTTCTAAAAAAATGAATTTAAATATATTATTCAAATGTGAGACTATTCTACTTGGTATAATATAAGCAAAACTGGTTTAATTGATTAAGATTATTACGCATGCCATAGGCGTATAGGTATTAGCAGCAATTAAAAAAGTAAAACAATTGATCGGTTTATTTTAATTATTATCATCTATATGCCTGCTTAAGCTACAAATACAATGTCTAGACAACGCTCCATACCTGTTGTGTACCTCTTGAAGTATAAAAGTCAAATAATTGTATATTATTTTTAAAAAAATGAGGTTAAATAAAATAAATAGATATAGCAAATTAAATATATTTTTATTTAATTAAAATATTACACTAAGTTCAATATACTTTAGTTAACTGAATATGTAAATAGTTATTATCGATTCACTTATATCTTAATTGCCGGTAAGTAAGGCAAACATGAAATAACAATATATTATTAAATTAGAAATAGGTAGCAAAAAGTAAGAACCTGCAATAAATGTAGATACAGCTATCAATCAATACAGTATAAATACATTGTTTTACTATACAGGGGGATCCATTTAACGTAAGACACACAATATATCTCAAAATATCTAATCTAATCCAGCAATTGTTTAGTTGTTCTTAAAAAAAAAAAATGTTTATGCTATTTTACAATAATGTCATATAAAATTAGTAAATATTTACCTTTTATAGTATTCTTAAAAACGTTTAAAACTTAAATAGTAACGTTAAATTTAATTTAATTTTGAAGAATAATTTGCTGAACATTTTAACTAGTCGATAACCAGTTTTGAATAATTATTTTGAAGTTAATGAAATTTAAATATTATTAGAACAAGAGGTGGAGTAATGAGTACGGTTGAATGTTGGCTGTTATAAAATTAATACTAAAGTCCACCCTTCCTCCTGAAACATTACACATTAATAATTTTTAAAATAGTTATTTAAAACTTGTTATCGACCAGTTAATATTTTTAGTAAAATATTCTTAGTTAAAAAAAGGACCAATAAAATATAGATGTTATAATTGAAGTTTCAAACGTCGATAGAACTTTGGAGTTTCCAAAAGCATAAAAATTGTAATATTGTAAAATAACATAAACTAAATTGTTTCCAAAATAAAAACTACAATATTAGTAGTATTTTCAAAGAAAATGCATGTCCTATGATAAGTGGTTCTTCCGGTATAGTCAATAGTCGTAATATGTAAATTATAACATTTCTATGTTGTGTATTATATCACTTTGTCATAATTTTTGTAGGAGACAATCTTGAATTTGTCTTTGTGTAACTAATTATTAATAAAAATACATAACACGACTTTGTGTTTGAATAAAATTAATCAGTCATTGTGTTGACACGTTTTATAGTAAATCAATAAAAAAAATAAGCCGAATTTAGCTTTTGTCGTTTTATCAACTATAATTTAACAATAATAAAATATTATCATCAGCATTCTTGGTCATGCACACTGGTGACTGGACAATCTTTAAGTCTCCTATTTTTTTAGGTGTTTTTTTTTATTTTATAGATAGTATAAATTTTACAAGTACTAGAATCAAGTATCTATATAAGCAGATTATATCTAAACATTAGAAACGAAATTTCAAGATTGTTATTTTTTAATTCAAATTCTACAATACTCATTTTTTGATAAATCACGTAACAAATTCATGATTTCAGAAAAGTTTCAGAAACTCACTCGATACATAGTTAGATACTATCTATTAAGTTACTATTTTTTAAGTGTTTTAGACGTCTAATATTATTCAAAAAGTATTAACTCAAAGTGTTGTTATGCGTAAAAATTATCCTTAAAAATTATTTCACGAATAATACCTACCTGTTTATTACATCATATTATGGAATTTAGGATTCAAATTTAATTAAAAGATAATCTTTTGTTAGTGAGTAAAAAGATATCAGCACTTTTGAATAACTATCTCTTATTAATGTTAGACATAAGCTCGTTGATGAGTATGTTACTTGTAATTTGTTAATCAAACTAGATTTATTTATGAGTAATTTCCGAATTACCCTTAAACTATCTTATTATTGCAAAAAGCCCAATAAGTACAAGGGGAATAAAGTATAGTGGAAATGATACATTTCCTGTTTCTTAAAAAGTAAAGCATATGAAATTTTTAGCAAAAATCGAATTTTTAAGCTAAAAATGTCAATCTTAAGCAACACTAAATTTAGTAGAGACTAGAGAGTATACTTATTGTTTATAACTGGAGCGACACATTGGCTAAACGTCTAAGCTAGAGGAGTATCATATTTTCAAAAAACTTCAGCAATCAATCGGGCAGAGCCCCCAAGTAGCTTTCTAGAAAGTATGAGTGATCTATAGAGTTTTTAAAGGGTTTAAATTTGTCAAACCTCCTTATAGTTGCGCTAACACTGTAATGTTGAATCTTTATTTGCCGGTTATATTTTATTGACAGTCTATCGCAGCCAATGTTTGTCTGCAAATTTGCTGCAATTTACTCTGTGACTCGTATGAGCCAAATTAAATCGTTAACCACTGACTTTTTCAATGTGCGCAGGAACGGATTCCAAGTTTGGCGTAGGCTTCAGATTGGGACCGAACGCAGACGTGCAGTTCCAACTTGAATTGGGACCTCAGAAATACACTCAGCCAATAGGACCGACCAAGGCTGACGATAGTTCGTCTAAAAAGAGACATGTGCCAGCCACTCAAGGAAAACCCAATGACTGGCTGAACAATTGGAGACTGCAAATGAATCCTGGCTACGTGGATGACGTCCACTCTGAAGGGTCAGACAACAATGACCTCAATGCACCTCAGCAGTCCACCGAAATGGTCGACTCGGATACAGTTATGCACCTGAAACAATTATACAATATGCGCCAAGCCAGACGAGCCGACACTTCCAATACATAAACAATACTACATGACCGTGTATTATAATTTCCAGTAGAATGGATTTCATTTGAATTTTGTAAATATTATCAAAAATATAATTTATTATAGGTATACAAACCTCGATTAGTTTGTTATGTCATTAAAAATTAACCATAGGCGGATACATGGTTGATTCAATTCAGCTGATTTCGAACAGTGCGCAATTTAGTCCTTATAGAAATAAATGAACACAGCTATTGAAATTGAACCTCTCTACCTATGCCACTATAATTATTTATCACCCATAAAGCAAAGCAACTGAAATATTTTTAAAATGTTATCAAACATGTTTTCGATATTTAATAAATCAATTGTAATGATTTTGCACGGAGTGTATTATTTCAATAATGTAATTTACAACAAAATGTTTAAGTATGATTTAAAATGTAATATACATAGTATATTATTAGACAAATAATATTTTGAAACATTAAATTTTAATCTAAAACATTATTGTAGCACACTAAAATATTGAAAACATGTTATATATATTTATACATTATTACTTTATATATTATGTATTTACTCTGTACTTAAACAAACTACATGTGTATTATAGTTAGAAATAAATATATGTATGTGTATGTGTATAAGTATTACTCTAAGTTCAGTTATACCTGAATGTAGTTCAATAGTTATGGATATCTAGTCTAACTGTTACAGCATATTGCCTATCATACAAGGAAAGTAATTATCAATGACAAAATATTACATTTCATGCTTTGTTTAGAAATTAAATTAAATATGAACGACGTCAGTCGTACATGCAATTTACTGATGACCTAGAACCAAATTCTAATAAGTAACTATTTAAGAAAATATAATTAATATAAAGTTTTAGCTATATTTATACTAAAATTTGCGTTAAAATGTCATAAATTTAGACCTAATAGTTTGATTAAAAATAATTCTATTAAACAACTTTTTTTAGCGTGTGTCTTGAAGAAAACTAAGTACACGTCCTTAGATTTAATTTAAAAAAAACAAAATTGTGATCATATTACTAACTTGCAGTCAAAATTGTAAATAACCCAATATTATCTAACAAAAATGACTAACATTCTTGTAATAGATGTCGGAAAGCCGTACCCAGAGAAAAAACTGAGAACTCGATTGTCAAAATAAAATATTTATTTAAAAAAAAATTGTTATTGACTAGAGGATTTAATGTTATTATGGTTGATGTTTCAAAAATAATAAAATACTCTGCACATTTTCTAGTTAAAAAAAAAAACAATTATTTAAATTAAAATTACTGCCGCCTGAGACTTAAAAAAACAATAAGCATAATACAATTTCCTTAACTCTAACAATGCAAAATAATTAATTATATAATGTCTCTATTACATTGATTTATTTTGAAAATTGATTTAAACTTTAATTATATAACGCTATTGTTGTTTTACACGCATACGACAATAAATTATTATATAATAATAGTAATAATAGTAATAATAATAATAATAACCATTTATACTAAAATAATATTATGTAATTAACTAAAATAATTTCCCTATATTATTCGATATTGTTCGCTTAATAGCTACGACTGCGACTTGTTCATGTTGTCTTGAGAACCGTCGGTGACGTTAGGACTGTTCCGGCCACCTGGGTTTGTTGATTGGATGTGCTGAGATTCGTTTGTGTCCATCCTGTCCAGGCCTTCGGTCGTCTGGTGGACCACGCTAGTGAAATACCTGTCTGTAAACACAAAAAAAAACAGGGTTAAAAACAACCCAAAACTCAAAATATAATTTAACAATTAGTTATCCGAGTAAAAAGCATACCATCGTCCATAAGGGAACCACCGTTACCCTGACCGTTGTTGCCGGACATGAGCGGCGTCATCATGTACTCTTCTTCGAGCGATATGAAAGGCGGCGCCGACGTGCACTGAGTGTTCCATCTGGGCAAAGTGGTCTGCGAATGGCCCCTGGGTCTAGTCGACGATGGGCTTGTGCTTCCCGCGTTTGTCAGCAGACTTAGGTTGGTCGGACTTATCACACCGGACACGGTGTTCACCGACCCGATGTTAGAATAACTGAATAGCTGAACACACAAAACAATTTATTAGCACCTCTATGTAACTAATATTGTGTGCAAATACCAAGTATAGAAACGCACCTAGACCGTAGACGGGATAAATGACGAGCCCCCCCCCCCCCCCAATGGCCAATTGCTTAAGGAGTCGTATGTTCTTTAGTGTTATAAAATAGTAATATAGTAAAGTTTTCTTATGATTTTGATTACATATTTTATGTTTATCTAATAGATAATAGCTTAAAGTATTATTTTAAATAATATTTAGGTGTAGGATAAATGAAGGGTAAAATTATCTTTACTTACACACACTTGAGAAACATACCCCTACATGACAATTAACTGGAACACTTCATTGTTATTAACATTTGTGATCATCCGTCATGCTAAGTACTAACACTCTATGTTGACAAATTTAATTTTGAAGTATAAAAGGCGAATAGTGCGAAAATCAATGCATGGGGAGTAGGCGAATAGTAGGTAGTTAATAGGTAATAAGAACATTTAGGGTACTCGGGAAAAGAAATCTTAGTTTCTTAATAGCTGAAACGAAAATCATCGAATTACAGAAACTTAAAAGGACTTAACAGAACTATGCTTTGGTGGATATTACCTCCATATCAATAAAAATTTCGTCAAGTCTAGGAGAAGATAAGTTGAAAACCAGGCTAGAATTTGCGTTGAATTATAACAATAAATTCCTGCAACTAGTTTTATTATTTTTTTATACCTAATTATTATCTATACCTTATGTCCATTGTGTTCCTTGATCGCAAAGTCTACACCCACTTTATATTTTTAGAGCTCGTTATGAGCAACGGGTCTTCACTGCTTCCGAGTATATTAAGCCAAAAGGATACGTTAACATTCCCACCAATATTTTTTGTAACGGTTCGTAGAAAATATTATATTTGCCGTTGTTGTAATAACCGATAGGTGTATGCACGAGTTAGGCAAAAATCACTCAACAGAAATGATAGCAATGATGTGGCCTTCGTGCTAAGTAACTCAAAAACGAAGTATCTTGAATAAATTAATTTAAATTAATACTTTAATTCTACCGCAAAAAAAATTTTAGAATAATTATAGTAACATTTTTATTTCACGACAAAGATTGTATGAATTTGCTATACACCTTGAGGGCATGACCTTCTGTTTGCAAAGTTTTATCTAGTTTCTAAGTAATATCAACATAAAATGATGACAGATGATGTACATACCTGAAAAATATTATTGATTTCAACCCGTGCTCGGTAGATATGCATAACTCAACACGTTTGTTAGAAGTGTTATTTATCAAACAACAGTACACAACCAAAAGCTTAACAATTATATCACAATAGGCATGGCAATAATTATTGTTTTACAACATTTTATTCTGTTCGTTTGTTAGAACACAAAATAAAAAAATGAAGTACACTGTTCAGTGTAATACAAATTATAGATGTTGTCGCCGTCTCCACAGTGTATAATATTTTACAGTTACGTCGAGATATGACTCTAAAATAATGTTCTTGATAATTAACTTAATATTTAAAATAAAAGGTAAAGTCTAAAGAACCCAATATAAAGAGGATCGGGAAACAGAAAATACAGAATGATTTTTGTTTCTATTTTATACGCATAATATAATAATAATATGTAATTTATGTACAGAGGGGTATCACAAAACAGATCCTAATTCTACCATAATAATATAATGTAATGTATAATATATAATAGGTACATATATTATACAAATAAAAATTATAATACACATACATAAAAAAGACATAGTACTTTGGTAATTTTTAAAACATCATAACATTATAAAATAATAAATAATGATAATCAATAGCGTCGGATAGTAGATTAACAATTGATAATTATCATATGCAAAGCTATACACAATAATTATATAGGGTGGCGAGCAGCGGTGTCTGACAAATTTGTACACACCGCTGTTGTACAACGACGGGTAAGTATATCAGAACAACAATCGTACGATACAACACTATTTTATTACCGTTTGTCATTAGATTAATTATCATTATTGTTCATATTAAATACAACTGTTATTATTATTATCGTTATATCGGCGTAAAACAAAAAAATTATTTCGTACAATATATATTGATTTACATAACATAAAAAACCTATAAAACAAACAAAAACAATAACAAAAATAAATAAAAAATTATTATAATACAGATAACTATTAAATAATAAATACACGATTATATATATATATATATATAGTATAATACATTTTAAATTATAATAATATAAAAGCGGGGTTGAGAGGACACGCCGAGTTTATTTAATGTAATCTATTTGAAATGGAAAGACCATTTTTGGTTTTGATTATGTACCAAAATATGTTTTGATGAGTCTTATGTATGATACACTAGGTGATTAAGAAAATTCCCAAATGAATCGTACGATGATTCATTTGTGTTTGTAAACAGTCGTTCTAGGTCATATTGTAGAAGAAGCCCTTAAGGCCAGAAAAGCTTAACCAACAAACGCGTTGGACTACTTTGATATATATAAAAAAAAAAAAATTAGAGTTATAAAGATTCCTAAAACTGCGTGCGTTGCAACAGAATACTATTTGGAAATGTGTGGGTCAAGCCATTTTCATATTAAGCAGTTTGATTAAATGAATTGTATTGCCTTAGATTGGATTACAATGTACAACCAATGTTAGATAGGGATGAGGAGCTTATAGGTAATATTTTATGTTCACTAAGTGTTACAATGCGGTGAAAGTGTGTGTTACATTAATAATATAAACAACGATTATATTATACATATACAAAATGAACTGGAGATGGAGTAGGCAGAGACAAAAATATTATATTGTCTCCCTTTCCAGTGTCAAATCGAAAATAACGCGGTACAGCTGCGTTGACCTACTGCAGCAAGAAAGACCGACGTCGACGTCCTTGGCACATAATGAGATTTAAAAACAAATTTACATATGTTACTCGAATGCAAAATATTAATATCTATACACCTAACACAATCGAAAAACGCTAAGCTACCACGAAGTGTCTTCCCTTCCATTCGCCACGTGCGTGTGCACTTTTGATGCATTTTTGGCCTTCGTCTTCAAAAAGACACACCGGCTGTATAATAATAATAATAATAATAATAATATAGTAGTGTATGCCTTGGGTAACGTTTGGAATTTAATAAGCGATAATTTAGTAGGTTTTTTTTTGCGCAAAATTAAAATATTTCGTCTTTCTGCGAATAGGTGTGTAATTATTTAATTTAAAAAACAGGAATTACTAGTTTCAAAACATACCGAATTAATGAATAAACGTGGCAGGGTGTGACGGTCAACTCTAAACGTATTTGATACGAGTAACGAAATGTTTTAGTCATATCGACGAAAATAGTATTATTATTAGTATACAGACATGATGTTTGGAAATGGGGAAATGATTACATTCCTATTGGCGTGGAGTAGGTACGGAAAACGGCAGAATTTGAAAAAAAAAAAAATTAACGTTATTGGACTTCTACCAAGACATATTTCACTTTAGGAATAACTTACGGGTTTCGATAAATCTCATTTGCTTTTTACACGCTCCATAAAAATAAAAACAAAGAAAAAACGGGTATATAAATAATATATCCTTGACTTATTGTATACACATACAAACACATTTCACATGGTGAAAAAACAAATGTGATTTTCCGTTAAAAGAAAATTATTTTTTATCCATCGTTTAATGGAATCGTATACAATTAAGAGAACTCGACAACGCTGCGATGGCGATAAATTGATACATTTTCAAAAGATGCCACCTGTGCACTGTAATCATATTATAGCAACCCTACTTAAAAAGTGATACGACAGAAAAAAAAACACGATTTTCCTGTTTATTATGGTATAATATGTTAAATAAATATCATAATTATATTGTGTAAAAACGTCATAAGTATATTCTTATTTTTAACCGATAGATGGCGCAAACGTAACTTATGGTAATACAACATTTTGCTGATTGAATATGATTCAAAGTGTCCAAATTGATTTTCCAATGATCCAAATTTAACAAAATGTTGTACTTTTTTAAATGACTTTTTAAAAAATGGCATTTCTTCAGTAATTGTGTCACTTTTTAAGCGAGGGTGCGATATATATATATATGCAAAAATGTATAACACAGCGGCCAAGGACAGCGTTTCAATAATGGTTTAGCAATAGCACCTATTTTAGAACATACGATAATAATAATAATAATAATAATTGTAGATACACGCGTCTAACTTAAGTGTATAGTAATTTATTAATAATATATACATTATACCTATACCTATAGAGAACAAAAAATAATTATGTTTGACAGTTGTAGTGTATTACAACGTTTTCACACAATACACATACCTACTATTAATTTGGTTTATTATAATAATACATATTTTGTTTATTGCACGTTTAATTTTACTTATTATATACATTATACATATTATATGGCTATAGATTTTGCTTATTCTTCAAGTGATCATAATATATATACGGATAAAAAAAAATCAACAGTTAAATCATATTATTTGATGTTATTACTTATTTTTGTAATTCTACTGCGTCTAACAATATGAAATCAACGTAAAGCGTCAAAAACAATAATTAAAATAAATTAACATTTTACACGATACAGTTAGATTTATGTACAAGATAAAAAATAACGTTTGCCATGAAACATCATGTAACACAACGGATTAAACAACTGTGGTGATGCTTATTCCAAAAAATTTTTTGCACCTGGAGACTTAATTGGACGGTCCTAAATTGGCGGCGTTAAAGGTTAATTGAAAAAAAAAACAACAACAACAAAACAAACAAACAAAAACGCCAAAAATTGCGGCAAAGCGTATACATCAAGTAGTTCAAAGTGTTTTGGTTATCGTCGGTCGGATTGAATATTATGTCCCAGGAAAGTTATTACACTTTACACGGAGCGGATATCAAATAAAAATAGATAATTTTTCCGAATTATTTGATCGTTAGGGTTATAACCAGAACACTTTGGAGTCGGCCGTAGACTGAGGGGAGAAAAACGGTAGAGTTAATAGTGTTGTTATTGAAAGTAAGTATTACAATGTGTGATGAGTGTTTCACAGCCTAAATATATCACAAAAACAAAACAAAAATGTCGGCAGCCTAAAAATAATATAATATTATTATTATTATTGTACGATTATATTGTTATTATTCGTTAATATTGCTTTGGACGATAAAACTAACAAAAACAAAACCGTTAATAGTTTGACGGGTTGTAATCGTGTGCTGGCAAGTTGAACGAATAGGGTACCTGGCCGTGTTGTATGTGCGAGAAGTGGTAATCCCGGTTGGCCGCCACCGTGAACGGGCTGCTGGTCACCACGCTCCGGCCGGAAGAGGACAGTTGCGCTTCCGATATCTGACTCATAGGCGGAGGACTCTGGTCCGAGTCCCGGCCACCGGGCGACCCGTCACCGCCCATGGGTGGTGTGTTCGAAGTCGGTGGCGAGTTGGAAGGCGCAATCGTCAATTCGCCTAAAAACACACAACAAATCGTTAAATTTCAAATGATTTCCCTCCCGGCCCACACGTGGCAGACTGACAAAAGAAAATTAAAGTATAGTTTACATCATAGGCGCATTTTGGAACTTCTAGGGAACGCTAAACGCTCCCATGATTTTTTAAAAATTAAAAAAAGTACATTTTTGCGCCCCTGATCTGTTGACTGAAATTGCGAAATTTACCATGTTTTCCATGATCTGACTACACGTTGTACAGTACTATAAAAGAGTTTATCTAACCGTTTATAATAAAATATTCAAGTCTAGTCGTATAACAGACATAATGGGCCCATATATCCAGTAGGTGAGTCGTAGTTATTTTGCAATTAAATCAATCGTGCAAGTCTCTTTGGACTTTCCAAATCATTTTTACTTTATTTACAAGTAGGTATTTTTTTGTATGAAAAAACAAATTGGTATTTGAAAGTTAAGGCTTTGAAAACCTTGATAGTGAAACGGTATTGTTGAGTTTCGCAATGTCATTTCATACGTAATCCTTTTACTGTAAATTATGATTTCGCTTTATTATAAATATCACATTGTACATTGAATTGTGGGTCGAATATTCTGTATGCAAATGTTTCATATTATTTTCGTTCTACTTTATAGAATATATTATTGTAATGATGTATAGTAACGTATGGCCGTTTGTAAGTGGCGTTAGCCAATTCTCAAGTAGAATAATGGAGGAATTGTTGAAATCGATACAACAGAACATATACAGCAAAATAAAAAATATAATGATATTTAAACCTAGCTATAAATGTTTACAATATTTAGACTGAACATGATAGATCAAAGTCGTTATTCGACAAATGAACACCAACGTTTTTTGACAGTGAAAAAAAAAAGAGTACAGACTTCTGCATAAAACGTGGCTCTGATTCCAAATTCAAATTTTCTAATTACATGCGTTACACAATTGTTTTATGTTTATTATTTAGTTATTATACATAAAGCTATATTAATTTTTTACAACCATTTTTATAGCTATGCGATCATTTCCATTGCGTCATAGATTTACTAGAAATTCTCGAATATATATGTATGTATAAAAATAAATAAATAAGAGAAAAACAGGAGTCTGCATTTTCTTTAAAAAGGCCTGGCCGCCATGGCAAAGTGCCACATTCCGAAATCGATTTCTAGACAAACACACACACTATGTGTTTCAGGTGACCTCTCCCGCTCTGTACACGGCCTACTATCATTATTATTATTATTATACATATATAATATAAATATATTATAGTTGAAATAGATGAAACGTTATTATTATCATCATTATTATTCATATAGATACCTTGTAGACAAATTGACTAATGCTAGATCAATGTAACGCGCTGCATACATTACATTATTAATAACCTTCTGCACTTTTACACAACCGCAATATAGTAAATTACACTGCGGCTCCCTGTCACGTTTTAATGGGTTTGTCAACACGTTTCGATAATATTATTAAAATTGTAAATATAAAAAATGTAATCGAATCAAGTTGCATTAGGTATAAATAATAATAATATTGTAAATTGTAAAACTAAATCTCGATTCTCTAACAATTTTTACGGAATTTATTATTTTCTTTTTTTTTTAAGAAAAGCTATTTTTTATTTTTATTATTTTGCATAATATAAACAAATTATCTGCTGCTCACCTGTAGATCGTATGATGGCTACTGGTCGGGCCATCGGGGGCGGTGGAGGTGGCGGCAGCATCGTGCTTGGATAATACTGGGCCATTTTTGGACTCCTTGTGGGACCCGCCTGAACGGTAACAAAAAAAATAAATCATTAAACAAATTTACATACAATTCTACAAACGGTATTTATGTGTGACAAACGATAAATGTTTAATAATTTTTCACACGTCATAAAAAAAACGGGTTCCTACCCGTTCGTATGTTATTAAAATCGATCAAATATATTATTTATTATTGTCTACTTGTTTTTAAAATTAAATTAAATCTATTAGAGTTATTTAGATAGAAAAAAACAAAATGCAAAACCTGATTTCCATAGGCCCATCCCTACGTGGGATAAAAAAAACAAACGATAATTACAATTTTGACATTAAACAACATTAAAAAAATATTATCATTATTAATAGGTACACTAAAGCTATGGTCAACAACTACAGGATTTGAAAATAATATGATTTTAGATGTCATAATAATGATAAGCGTGAAAGGAAAATAAGATAGATCAGAGGGTTTAAAATAAAAAGCATTAGCCAGACATTAGTGACTAGATGTCGAATGAATTGTGGCTGACTTATAAAGCTAACTGACTAAAAAAAAAAGTTAATTAAAAAAATAAATTATTTTATCAAAAGTAACTATTTACAAATGACAATTCGAATGATTTAAAATTATCTTTAGACAAGAGCTTGATGGAAATTAAAAAAACAATTAAGAGGAACGGAAAGCGTTATTCTATACAAATAAAAACTAAAAGGCAAAGTCACTTTTGAATGTCTACCGAACCGATTTCAATTAATTTTTATTTTATTATACAATTTAACACCTTCTTTATGGGAGCTAAAAGGCCGAATTTATATTTTTGTTTTCAAACATTTATAGTTTTACTTTTTTTAACGTTTTTTCTAATAAATCTAACTTATTTCTAATAGCTAAATCAAAAATCAGCCTTTTAGCCCCATAGAAAAAATAGTTAGCTTCACAAAAAAAAATGAAATGTGTCCCAATAGATAACTCGAAGAAAAATGACTTTAAAAATTCTATAGCTGAAAAATCTTAATATTTTTTTCTCGTTAAAATTAGTCGGCATATTTAAAATGGCTACTCGATCAATTTTTGTTACATATTCATAGGCGCAATTTCAATTTTTAATTTGGGGGGACTGGAAATTTTTTTAAAATATATATATAAGTAAATATATTTTTGTATTTCAAAATTGTATGCATAACATAATTTTTTTGGAGGGGCAAAGCCCACCCTAGCCCCCCCCCCCGTATTTGCACCTACGTATATATTGCCTATCCTTTAATAAATACTGCTTTCTGTTCCCCTTAAATAGAATATAAAAGAAAACACGTGACAATATAAAGACACATTATGAAATACACACAGAAATAATCCATAATTAAAACGGAGACACTCCAAAATGTATAGTTGCAATAACTAAATAAATAGTTGGGCAAACTAAATTTATGGTTTTAACTGAATTTAGTTGGCCTAACTATGTGTTTATTTCGTTATGCCCATTATGCATTTAATGTGTCCCTATATTAACCATATTTATTGTTGATCTAACTATACATCTTTTTGAGTGCCGCTTTGAAAACTAACGGTGTTATTCTATTTTTTGTTTTATTTTACGGCCGTCTTGTCCGTTAATAGCTCCGAGACGGCGAGAACTTTTCGATGAACTTTGTGAACGTTAAAAAAAAAGGAAAAAACTTGCTACGGACATGAGCGGTGATGTGTGTAAAGCGTCGTATGGGCATGCGGTTTGTACAGTTCAGCAAGTTTGCAGAATTCAAATCCAAGTGATTTGTTTCAGCGTTTCGGGTTGTTAGTGTGTTGTTTGATAAACGTGTACAAACGGTTTTTTAAACGGCACAACAGATGTGATCGTATGGCATACAACTACTCTCAACACTTATTATATTATACTGGAACAATTCGTGTACCTGTGCGCCTTGGGAACTCTCAGCTTCTTGACAAACGAACGTGACAAAATCCGAGAGCGTGTCGTGTCCGTTCTCCGGGTACTTGGCCGGACTGTGCTGTTCGGGGCCCGAAGTGGCCGACCCGTAATAGTTGGTGGAAGCCAGGGACGCTATACTACCAGCGTGTTGACCGGGAATACCTTAAACAGCGACAAAACGAATAATTTGTCAGTGGAAAACTCGCAAAACCGGAGATGTTACGTTAAACAGTTTATGAAAATCGATTCGTCCCATCTATATTCCTTTGGGATTCCCTTTGAAAAGCGGAAAATTAATTCCAAATAAGTAAGTGTCGGGGGTTACTTAACACACAATTCTAGTAGAGAAAAAATGGGATAACACACCATGCTCCTCGTTATAGGTATACACATGAAATATTTTGGCAATAATAATAAATAAAAGAAATCTAAAAAAAAAAAGCCAAGTGTGGTCATACCCACTTAGAATTACAATAAAAATAATTTAATAAATTAATAATAATCGTTAAAACATTTATACAAAATATAGACGGAAATTAAAAATATACAAAATGTCCTAGAGAACCGATAGCTTTCGTAGCTCTTTAATAGAGTTCAAGGATCTTTTGCTTTGAAGATGAGACTAGTAGGTGACAAGTCCGTTATTCTACCCACAAACCGGTCACTTCTCATTGGGTTATGTTATGGTATAATGGACCAAATAGATTACTGGAAAATTTCATATTATATTAAATTAAATGGCAACCATACCGTGGTCGATGTCCGAGTGCCAGCTGGTTTGACTAGATAGTGACGCGGGACTTTGGCCGTAGTATGTGATTTCCGAGTTTGACTTGTCCCTAGGACCACCCAAATCTATTTCCGCATCGTCAGCCGAGCTCATCCTTCGCATTCTTTTGATCCTGGGCTCGTTCAGCGGGCTTTGGGTCCTCTGTATGGACATGGGACCTGCAAGCAAAATAGCTGCATACTTTATTCTGTATACAAATATAGTATGTCTGTATGTATATTATAATATAGTTGCTCGGGGGTCAAGTAAACGATGATATACAGAGCACAAAATACTGCAAACAAATTGCTTAATAATTTATAACATAAACGGTCAGTAAAGTATACTCCGGCACTAATAGCTGTTATTTAACCCTTCACTGCACAATGTTCCATATATGGAACAATTGTATTTATTGTTTATATCTGCTCATGCTATACATCTTTGATGCACAATGTTCCATATTTGGTACAATTCTTTAATTAGCGTTTTCCATGAAACCAAAACTAAAAAAAAATTATTTTAATTTTTTTAAGTAATATTAAGTACATTTATAGCATATGGTTAAAAAAAAAATTCATGCAGTGAAGGGATAAATAAAAACTGCGTTGGGCTATCAGCCGCTACCCCGCGCGACTGTGTGAACTCAAGTATGATTTTTATTGTTTTAATAAACTTATCAGTTCTATGTGGTTGTAGACACGATTTATGGCGGACGAGATATTGCAACGGTATACCTATGTACGAAGAGTGTCTGTGTGCAAAATAAATGATGGTGGCAGCGGCCGAATCGACCATTTTCATCAATATAATTCTTAATAAGGCGAAACGAGAACAATGAGAGCACAACCGTTTACTTATCCTTTATGTGCTCTGAAATACATTCCGGTTGTATCGTCGACTTGTTCAATTCGCCGGTGCTTCGACCGACAGCAAGATCTCAATAGAGTCTAGTCTAGTAATTATGTGTGCTGTTACTCACTGTAGCTGCCCGATGCCATGATAGACGAGTGGTCGCCCGGAGGGGTGAAACTACTGCAATAGTACCCTGGGTTTTCAATTTTGATGATATTCATTGGCGGCATACCGTTCGGATTCTGAATAATCGATGCTGTAAACAAAAACACTAGAGTTAAATCTATGGTATGTATTTGTATTACTGAATACTATACAACGTAATATAATGTAAAAAATGTCTATGTGAAATGATAAAAATAGGTTAGGGTAAAATAGAATCAATGAGATCCATTTTAAATGTATTACAATAACTACCCTATAAAATGTAATGGTTTTTTTTTATCAAGTTTCTATCAATTCCGAATTTACATTTATTTTTTTAAGAATGTTGGTAATTCAACAAAATTAATAGACTACCTAAAATAAATATTCATGGTGAAAAACAAATAATAATTATTGGGCAATTACATACCATTTTATTATAATATGTATTGTTAGGCGAGACATTTTTAAACAATAAGATAGTTTTTATAGAACTGATGAATATCACGAAAAGAACAAAATCAATTTTGCCAATAATAGTCCATATTATATTATTATATATTTAGCGCATATTATTTGATTATATGATTATTTTGATATTCGATTTCACAAATTCGAGTTAAGAGTTTGAGTACGAACAAATCAAACGTACGCTTAAAACTTTAATTTTAATCACAATAATTTTGTTGTTTAACTTTTATAGAAAAAAATTAAAATATGGTTAATCCGAATTTGATTAATTCAGATTTTTTATGTTCTCATCACTAGCTATTTGTTTCAATAAAAAGTGAAACATGTGATAATACTAATGAATGTTGCCTTAGTGTGAACCTGACTTTAGATCCACGACACGAAAGATGTGGTTTTAAAATCCGTCTTCAAAACAAAAAGTTTTACTGGTCGAGTTAACGGGATAACTAATACACTAAATATAAGTAAGATTTTCAGCCGTATTCGGAAAACAATAGTTAACGGCTGGTGTGTATATCGATGTAGTTCCGGGTTTGTGTGTAAAATACGGACATTAACGTTATCACAATGGTTAACACAATTATTATGGTGGTAAAATAATTATTATTGTCGGGTTTCACGTCCGAGTAATTCGGGTCCGGGCACACGTGTGGCGGCGTTTAAGCAAATAATCTACGAAAATGATATGTAGTCCCGGGTCTGTCCCTGGCCTCCCCAAAAGGGTTGACGGCAAGAGGAAGAGGCGTTTCTTTCTATCCTTAAAAGGGGCAATGTTGTGTGCCAGTAAATGTTGCGGATACCAATGGATGACTTACGACTTGGAAGCAAGCGATCCTCGGCTTGCACACCACGTACCCTGGGGCTGCGAGAACGGGTGACCCCGACAACGTAATCACACTCAGACAACAACACACACATATACACACTATAATATACATAATACATACATACGGTTGTTGGACGGAAAAACCGACCAGCAACGAATATGTGTCATACGGCGCCACCGACGGTTTAAAAGACATATTATTTTCAATAGCAACAATATATTAAACATTTTCAGAACGAACCATATAGTGTTTTACAATGCGGTGACCATGTAGACCATATTTAGGGTGTTCAAGTATCATAGGTATTGTAAATTATTTATTTTAATTAATTAACAAGCGGGTAAATTATGTTTTTCCAGTCCGGTCGTGTTAATCTCAGTTCTTTCGGTTACCTACTTAATTAATCACATATGCACGCAAGATAAAATATGATAATTAAATATGCAAGTTGATATAATATCTTAATAGTATCATAACAGTTATTATACTTGTAATGGATATTGTAAACCCTTTTCAAATAAATTACATATAATATAAGAATGTATGACTGTATTTTATGTCGGACGTTGCGAATGAAAAATTGTGGTTGGAGCAGTGCAAAAATATTGATTCAGGAAACTAAATAAATCATAGCGTTTATTGTCACATCGAGACTGCTTAATACTAAAACGCACAAGAGAAATTATTATCGATATGCCGTGGAATATAAATGATGTTCGCGGCGGGAAATAAATTACTTGTTCGCTAACAAAATTATTATTATTATTTCAGTAAACGCGAACCGTCGCTTTTGTTTTATACAGTGCGTTTATTTATCTATTCAGCACGTTTCAGAAAACGCAATACAACAAGCAGTCCTAAAACTTTCTTTTAATCAATTCAAATATATTAATATTTATTGACATTAACCCAATCAGATTCTTCTTATTAAGTGTTAATTAACATTTATACGGCGTTTTGTAAAGAATTTCGCAGCCCCGTGTACAATAAAGAATTGTTATCTTTAACTTGAGTATTAACACTTACAACCAGTACTGATTTTTTTACTAAAACCCAAAATCATTCAAACCCAAATCGTTTCAAATTATTGTCTCGTTTTCTTGCCGTTGGCGCAACTCTTCGATTACTTCTTAAATGTCCACTACTGTACTGTGTAACCTAGTCATTCCATACATCCATTTATCTAAACATTCAATATCAACCAGGGTGGTGTTGTCTCTTACCACCTCATCCAATCACACAGCTTATTCTACATCTTCAATTTTCTTGCATAGCTAATAAATGGATAACGATTTATTATTATTATTATTATTATTATTATTATTATTATACGTCGAACGACCGGAAGCCAAAGTTAGAGAACGACAAAGATGCATGTGCCGCTATTATAATACCGATAACGATCCGAGCGCCATCGGATTCGATCACGTTATTATGCAGCTAAATCGTTGTATTATATACATACTACATTGTAGGCACATAAATTATGTAAAGAAATATTTTCCTTCTTCCCTCTGGCCCTCACCACACTCGACCGAGACCTGCCGCGCGTTCCCGCACATAACATGCCACCGTGTGGTCTTTATGTCCATCGCAACAACACACACACACAATCGTTTTGGCATTACGTTCGAATGGATAAGTAACGTCAAGCGAGAAAAAGAAGCGTTTACATGAAAAATTATCAAACTCAACGCACTTTTCGTACAAGTGCCGTCAAAGGTGAGGTATAATGGTGTAGGTAATCTACGTGCAACCATTACCGTTGTCTCTGTATACCTCTGGGTGTATAATAATGTAAACTATGATATTACACCTCTATGATGTATTATTATGTTCTAGTTCAGTACGTTATTATTATTATGATTATTATGGTGCCCTACCTTTGGAAAGCCTCCAAAGTTCTTTGGACGAAAAAACGCCGGTCGCTAAAATGTTATCGTTGCATACCACACCGTTATAGGGGTTGTGCGAATAGCCTGCAACAAACCAGAAAAAAAAATAAAATATATGAAAACGTATTTAATAACATTTATCATCATTTAGGCGGTAGGTATGTAGGTCTTTGAATATCTTTGAACAAAATAGGTACATATGTATACATTACGCAGCCACAAAAAAACATCTAATCGCAATATCTCAGGAAACTATGTTTTATATATTTAAAGAATCTGAACCGAAATTGGGACCGGTACCTACACGAAGGTTCAGTATATTTAATGATCGGATTGGAGTTGAAACTTTTATTTTAAGAATTCAACTGATGAAACCATCCAGGTTTCAGACCATGGTTGAAACTTAGTTCAATTTAGTTTGTAAGCAGACACGGCATGGAATAAGAACGACAACAATAATAGCTATAATGATGATGATAATAATAATAATAATAATAATAATAATAATACTGCTACTGCGGTGACTGTTAGGCTAGGAGGATTTTAAATATCACACATGTACGTGTGACAACGCCGGTGGAGACTTAAGCAATTCCAAGCTCGGATGTATAAAAGCGTCTAGACTGCTGCAGTATACAAGTCGTTTTGAATACTTGAAGAATTAACGCGCAACGCCCGGGGACGGATTAAGAACTGTCCTATTTTAGCCGCGTGGTCGGAGGGTTAGGTCGTGTGTATGTGTTTCTTATTAAAGCAGAGAAAACTGGTGTGTAAAAATTAATTACACGGCTCCGAGAAAACAGTCAGTGTCGTTTATACTCCCAAGAGATTTGACATGGCGAAAATAACTAAAAAACACACGCCGCCGTCCGTCTCAACCCAACCAAATGTAAAGAAAACGTACAAGTATTAGAATATATTATAGAGTTCAATCTCACACCGTTGCTCAATATTAACTGGTTAGGTTCAAAAGAATAAAAGTGTCTTCAATCAAATTTAAATTTTTAATGTGTTTTTATGGTTCATAGTCGTTAATTAGGTTTTGAATATCTCTTTCGAAAATGTAAGAAACATTTTAAAACAAAAACTGGTAGAAAAAAGTATTGTTGACGATTTGGTTGTGATCAAAAACTAGTTTTTGAAAAAAAAAAACATAGTCACTTGTTTCCTTTTTTAGTTATCACAACTTCAACTAGTAGATGTTATGAAAAATAAGAATTAAAAACAACAACCAAACGGATTAAATTAGGTTCACACATAATTTGTTATTCGATTAGATTCAAGTGTTCGAAAAAATATTTTTTTCGAACATAAAGTTTTCCAATAGATAGGTATAATATTGTTAGTTAAAAAAACAAAATTAAAAAACGATCATATCTCACCATAAATATATCCAATATGCCACACAACAAACGTCAAATTAATAGTTGCTGATACATATTTTTATGATTTGTGTTTCAAACGTATCAAGCCTATATTATAGAAAATATGGCTAGAATATTATGTCGTTTTATACTAAAAAAAATGGTTGTAGGAGTAATTTATTCCTCCTTAAGGGCTTAAAATGTGTTGTCGAATTAACCAGGTTCCTAAAAAAGTATAACTGTTCCAAAAAAGGAATTGCTGTTTCTAAAAACCGTAGCAGATAATTTAAAGTTTTAAACTCTGTTTTAAATAATTACGATACATATTTTTCATTGATAATTGTGTTGTTTTCAAACATTGTAATACAAATTGTATGTGTATCAACACTTTCACCGGTCTCAATAATGCATGACTGTAAAAAGCAAAACACGTGGCTAAAGCATGTTAAATTATTAAGTCCTAAACGATAGATATTATTGGCGTACAAAAAACGTTATCTAGTCCAACTGCACCCTGTTGTGTAGTTTACTACAGCTAAAAAAACGAACGTGTTGATCGGCGAAATGCATAACACCCCGGTCGAATGTACATCCGATAGTGCGTTTGTGTGTAATATATATCTAATATCACATAAGTACATATAGGATATAACCGGGTCATTGGTTCAATACCGCGTTAACAGTGCGCTAACGGTCCTGTTGATGCGATTTATGCGTTTACACACACTTTGGTACCTTGGAAGTGCATTGCGAGAAAGCGCTTTTTTATGGCTTCAGCAACAGCGGAATACATCAGATAACGGACAACGACGACCGAGGTAAACGGTTTGTATGTTTTTTATTGTTTTTGTTTTTTTTTTTTTACTTCTTCGCTCTCCTCGCGTTTCACGTGATTTGAAAACAAACAAAAAAAATGCTACTTAGAAGGTAATTTTCGTCAGGGTTGCGCGAAATCCAATAATTTAATAGCGCCCCTATAGCCGGCTCTCCCCGCCTTTCGCCGGATAACATATATAAATATTTTTATTGTACATTTTAACAGTCATCGCCGTTTGGGGGAGGAAGGTATATATATATATAGTAGCGAAATCGACATAACAAGCTGACGTCGGGGGCGGCGGCAGCTGAAGAACCACCAAAGCAAATGGTCCATAACGATATTTAGTCAGAGATTCGCGCGAATTTGCATCTTCGTACACGCGCTAAACGATATTGTCGACTCTCGCACGCCTCTAGGATACACCGAGTATAGGCTGATTTATAATCCTTCTTTTTCCTCGAGGAAAACATTCTTCACTTCCACCGCCGCGAGCCCGCCCGTGTACACCCGTAATCCCTTATAAGCGCCATCCGCTTCTGCATACCATTACTATCTATTACTATGATTAGCATTACTCTCGAACCCGGGACAGTGTATAAAATCCTATAGCAGGCAATAGTACCGCAATTGGCCGACCCCGTGTAGTTGGGAGTGTAAGTTGGTTCGTCGAACAAGCGGGTGTCGTATGAATGTGAAGATCTTAACAAGAAAACCGATACACTCAAAGACACGGTTTTTTTCATATAATATTTGCTTTTTCGGTAGAGGTTTTTTCCCAAAACGCTTTTCCCCGAGGATTATGCCGGGCCGCATAATATATTATAACGTCGTTCGCCAAAGGTCCGGGTAAGTGAATTATAACTGTATAATGTATAAATATATATATATTATCATAATGCACTCGAAGAGACACCGCGCGAGGTGCCGGGAAGCACAAAAGGATCAGGATATCCCGCCGTCACCGAGCTCTGTATCTCGCCTGTGTATTCGTCTGTGTATTTATTCTATCCCATTTGGTCGAGATACCTTTAAACTGATAAAATTACTGAACGCCAGAGCGTGTGTAAGCGAGAGGGTGTGTGTGCGTGCGTGTGTGTGCTTGTGTGAATTGATAGAAGATCGAGTGAGTTATAGCCGGTTTGTCTTCGACGACGGTGCGAGGGGGGTGCAAGAAAGAGAAATAAACAAAGAAATGAATTTATATATGTAAAAAAAAAAAAAAAAAGGCGACACAATAATGCTGCCGTTGGCGTAAGGCGGCGAGGAATTGCTTCGGCACACACATACACACACACGTCGCGCTGTATAATGTATATTTAAATGTTCGTTCGTTTGGAAATGGAACTCATATGGAAAATTTCGCTCATATCTTCCGCGGTGCCTAACACGTACACGATAATTTACAGATTAAAATCGGTCGAAAGGCCATTTTGCCGTTTGGAAGACGTAGGAGGTGAACTCGTAGTAACTATATAATATATATATGTACTATATTATATGGGTTATTTGGAATAACTGCCAAACCGGCAATAACGATAAGAACGATATTATAAACGCCAGCAAAAAAAAATAACAGCGACTTTTTCTAACCGAACGCTAATTACCGGCAGACCGTAACGTGCACGTGGTACGACGACGGTCGGCTTTGATTTGATTGTATGTGCTGTGTTTGTGTATATATTATTGTAATTTTGTATTTATTTTGTTTTTTTTGTTTTGTTTTTATTACTTCCCTAAAACTGTATATTTTCTTTCAACGCGGTTGTCTCGTGGCACAGGGAAAATCGCGACATTTATCGGCGCAAAAAACACATTCCCCGAAGCAATAAAAAAAAAAAAAAAAACACCCGTTAAAACGACCCTGTACACTAATAAGGGAAAATCATATATCACCCGTATTGTATTGCCGGGCGGCGGTATAAAGCACACGAATGGGGTTTTTCCTATATCGAAACTAACGCTTTGGGCGCTCAGTATGTGTGTGACCCTCGAGTTTTTATAATGGCACATTGTGTGTGTTTTTTTTTTTTGGCCGTCTTGAGTGTGGACCACGTTGAAAAGTTTTTCTTTCAATTAGCGTGTCTCGTGTATCGTCGTCTAGTGTGGGAATATGGGGAAATGCCGAAGTAAAATTTGAAACAAAAACATGCACACACAAAGAAAACTCATACAGACCACGCGGAAGACCATAAATAATATCCTGGAACACGGCCGCCGCCGCCGCTATATTGGCGCGTTTTTTTCAAGTACATAATATATTATTGTATATGCAGTACAAGTGTAAAACGTTTGGCGCAAAAAAACCGAAAATAATAATAAAACGGAACGAACATTTAGAAAGCGCAACATTTCACTCTTTTTACATACACCCAGCTCGGAAACCGACTCGAGGCTGACTTAAATAGCCGTGAGTGCAGATTTACAGATTGGCAAAAAAGGCGCCGCCGAATCCGAGTGGTTAAAAATTGAATTTTGTTTTAATATTAAATGTAAATAGTAGTTATAAATGTAACAACAACCTTACATTGAAATCATATATAAGATCGGCGTTGGGCAATGTATACGTTCTTGAGGATTAACGGTTTTTAATTATATTATGTAAATACATAAACAGTTTTAATCACGAATAATTGTAATATTAATTACAAATTAAGTTAAGCATTTTTAACTTTCATTTAAAAAATAAATTATTGATGTTTAATATCACGAAACTTTTAATTAAGAATACAACTATTCATGATTAAAATTTAAACTTTAAGAATAAAATACAAACAATGTTGATTATGAAAAGTATTTTTTTTTTAGGGCTTTTAATTATCTAAATACTATTTATTACAAGCGATGATAACAATTAAAGCCCACAAATGCGCAAATACTATATAAATGTAAGTTTATGAGTA